AAGGATAATGCTGCTGTTAATCTGGATTTTTATCATAAACAAAGCCTTCGGACAGACTAAAAGCAGTTGTAGTTTAGTCTGCTTTCCAACACATCCAGCTTCTTGTCTATCAAACACGACACAAGGCCATTAGTTTCTACAGTGAGGAATTAGGAACAAATTTCAGGAGCACATTAATTCCCATTTGTTGGGGTTGGTGTACTGGTGTGTGCTTGTTTATGCTTGGGCCTCGCTAATGTTTCTTTCAGTAGCTTTTGGACAATCAAACAGTCTGGTAAAGATCCTATCAGCCACAACATTATAACCACACACTGTACAGAGAAGATAAATGTAGACACGCCCTAGCACATCCAGCTTTATCATCAAATGAGTAGTAAAGTCATTTTTTAAAAGACCTCGGTATGAACGAACTGAGTAGCCCCCTGTTGGCCATTACAAGAAATGCAAGTTTACCGTGTTTTGACATTAGCTTAACTTCTCAGATCCAGAATGTATAATTAAAAACACATGTTTGGAGATCAGTCGATGCTCCGGGTTCGGTGTTGTCTTCCTCGTGCCATTCCTGAGGAGTTTTTGGATTATCCTGCAGAGGGAGGCTGCAGCCATCAGGGAGCATCTGCGATAACGTTTAGGTGTGCGGTATGTGTCATTATGCCAAGTAGCAAAGTAGCATCGCGATGAATAGTGATACTGACTTCACCTATCAGCGGTTGTAATGTTGTGGCTGATCAATGTATATATTAGTATTTATCAGTATACAGACCATTTATAACAGTGGAATCAAATCATTGTTAACAATGAACTTGCCAGCAATAGAAAACAAATAGGGAAGTAGATAAAGTTTATATTTCTTTATCTAATTAGTCCCACAACCAGTCAGCAGCCTATCTTCATGTTCAATTAGTAACAGTATTTTTTAATCAAACTTTTTGGGAACCAAATATAGAGCTATAAAGTTAAAAAAAATATGTCAAGTGTGTCAGTAATAAGCCTAAGGCTCCAAATGCGGTGGACATTACTCACGTTGAAGAGGAGCTTAATTACACGGTATGAGGAAGTACTTGTATAGCTGTCTAAAATATTGGCACTAGATGTTTCTGCGAAAAGCTACATAGGCACACATAAACAGCTGAACAGGAAGTGACAGGTCATACTGTCAAAACCTTGAAATAGTCCCACTTCTGCTTTCAGAGAGAGAGAGAGAGAATGCGAGCAAAAACGAATACATACGACTTCTAAACATTCACCAAAAAGGCAGCTCGTGATGCAATTCTTAAATATGTTTTTCTGATATGTTAATTTCAGCATTAACTTCTTTAAATTTCTAGAGCAAGCTGCCCTTCTAAAGACACCCACTCTTATTTCCTTGGTGATGTGAAGTGATAATTTCCACAACATGAGAAGCCTACTTTGGAAATAAAGCTGGTTATTACCTAAATCATTTGATGAATTCATAGAAAAACAGCATTTTCACCAATGGGCTGCAGTATATTAGAAGAATAAAAACCACATTTCATTTTCATTGTGTGTTAATAAAAAAGCACCAGAACGGTTTATTAAGAACAGATACAGGAACCTAAAACTCATCATACGCGGCGATTACCGTTTCTGAGCGCTCATTCTACTCAAAACACAGCAGCACCATCTATTCTTGGGAACAAAATAAATCAAAGGATTGTTTCCTCTCAAAAAACTACAGGATGTCAGACTGATACAGTTTACAGTTTGCAGTCAGTGGAGCAGAGAGGGCAGATGAGCATGATTCCTCCGAGTCTGAACTTTAGTTTTACATTATTTCCCTAAAAGGTGTTTTTACGCTGAGAACTTAGTCAGTACTTTCTCCTTCCTAGAACACACACTGCATGGCCGAGCAAGACTTTCTTTGTAAGTTATGTGCTGTAATTAAAGCGAATTATTTCCTCTTTGAAAACTACCAGAGGATCGTTCAATTAGAGGCACATTTCGAGGTGATTTCCTACAAATTCAAACGCGGCCTAACCCTTTTAACAAAAAATGAAGCTGCTTTCTACTGCAGTTTCCCAAAAAAAGTCCCCACTAATGCATGTACTTCTTGGAAACAGCTGCAGGGAAAAGTTTGCCTTTTTGACTCATATCTGCACCAAGAGTACCACAGGTGTAGGATCCCTGGTCAAACAAATGAATAAGGAAGAAAGCTTCACTTTCTCTTTTCAAATTTAGTCATTTGATTTCTTTTAAATCACAAAATATCCCCTTTTTCCCATTTTCTACCACAATTTGTTCGACCCCTTGGATCATCGCGGTAACACGGTTGCGCTGACACAAACTTCGTCTTAGCCGAGGACAGCCTGTGCCATGGTATCAGCTAGTGAGGTGAATCTGAATTTAGCTCATGAGAAGTGCAGATGAATTCGCCCCCACCCTTCGCTACAGGCCGAGAAAATGTGTCTAGATTTCAAAGCCCAGGTGTGCTACATGAGCTTCTGAGAGATCTGTCAGGCTGTACACCCACCGTCTAGTGGAGGCTGAAGAAAGCAGAAAAAAAAGAGAACCTAGTCTTTTACTTCCTGAACATCAAAGGTGCCTCACCTCCTCAGTGTGGCCATCTAAAGCTTCAGTAATGTTTGACCCTTCACTTCATTTCTCTAGAGTTTCTTTCACCCTTTCGCCTACTGATACCGAGGTTTTGATTAACATTGCAGACCCCCGGACTCCTCTCTTAAAATCACACCAAATTTATTGTGGAAGCCTGAAACCAAGATGAAAATTTTAAGAAGGATATTGCCTCTGATATTGAAAGTTTTTTCTTCTTTTTTAGTGTTTCTCTGCTCACCTTCTTCAAAATCTTGTAGGATTTTTTCTTTTTTTATGTTACGAAAAAGTGTGAGTGTCAGAAACAGGGGTAAAGATAAAAGACAGAACATTTTCATCGCCAGGATTTCACATTTTCACAATATGAGGTTTGTGGTTTTTGCACAACAAGAAAATTTGCTTTTTGTCACATGTGGAAGGATAACACCTCTGCACTCACCGACCCTATTATTATTGCGGGTAGTCTTTGACTTTTTCTTTGCTCTGAGGGAAGCTGAAATTAGCTGGAGCAAAATAAAAGTGTACTGCATGCATTTTAATTACGTGACCTGATATATGATGCTACTTACCACAGTGAGTTTGTCTACAGAGGAAACTGCCAGGAATTGCTACGTCAAATAATAGAAGATGCACGCACACACACACACACACACACTCGCACACACACACACACACACACACACACACACACACACACACACACACACACACACACACACGCACACACACTTGGATAAAAACGTAATAAAATACTACATTTTTAACACTAAAATCCCCAAATCATTGGCTAATTCTGCAAAACCTGTGCACACCATAAAATGAATTACAAGGCATTGAAGGGAATTTCTAAAACGATCCATTTGTGAACCATGTGAACAGTTAAATGTGCAATTTGTGATCAGGTTTAGCAGATAAAAGGCAAGAAAGTATATCAAAAGTCTATCTAAAAGGAGCATTTCTTACCCCCAAAACCGTAAGTGTACTGCACTCAGAATAACTTTCAGTAGTAAACCAGAAGGCAAAGAAGCCATGCAGGTCAAAGGGGAATATTTTGCAAGAACATAAGCTGCACCTACCAAACTGAAATTCATCTGTTTCAAAAAACCACAAAACGCCACATGCAACAACAACAACACCACACACACAACCTTAGATATATAGATTAAAATGGCTTGAGTAAACTTTGTGAATTTTTACTCAAGCCATTTTAATACAAAAATTTTGAGTTTCAGCCGACAAACCGAGTGAAGCCACTGGAAATATCAGTGTCATATTATGTGACAGCGCAATTGTTTCCCGTGCACAGATCCGAGCCATGAGAAACCTATGGCCTGAAACCTTGTGTCAAACACAAGTGTCGCATATTAGTGAATTAATCCTCATCGACGTGACTGCATCTTAATGCTCGGTGACCTATCAAGAGAGGCCCGGCAGCGCCGTCTCTTCCCCTCTCAGGCCATGAGCTGTGTGCGCTGCAGAGAGCCGCCTGCGCGAGCCCACATGTTTTTTTAATCACAATTTCGATATCGTCATTTTTTTTAAAGCTTCCCACTTAAGAGTATCGCTATGAGGGTTGTTTTTGACTCTTGTTTTAGATTTCTTCCTCGCTGTCTGCACGAACAAGAATTTGATTAGCTCCCAAATTGAGTTTTGTAACGTCGATTATTGCCAATGACGGATGGTCAAAAAGATGACGTAACTTTTTTTTTTTTTTTTTTTAAAGATTACCGCTTTCTCTGATGGTTCGAAAAACTGTAAAATTTCCTTTTTGGCAGCTGAAGAGGTGCTGATATAAAGTGAAGGCACCCAAGAGACTTTATAGGTCAAAGAACAGCTCAGCCTGCAGCTGAGACTCCACTTTGCAGTTTGTTTGCCTCTTCAACAACTTTTTAATTCGGTTGTAATTCCTTGCATAGTAACAAACCTTTGAGATGCCTCTCAGTAAAATGACATAGTGGCCTTCTGTGCGTACCCTAATAAATTTCAAATTTAAAACTCAATTCTTTAGAAACTGTCGTACTTTCACATCCTTTAAGTAGGCAACAGCTCGGATGAGGCAAATTTTGCGCAAAACTTTGCACCTTTCGATCATTATCCCAGAAAAACTCCCAACAACCACGTCACCTGAGCAGAGACGTGTTGGTGATGCCTGCACAGTCTGCAGAGCTGGAAGACGACCGCCATTCAACTCTCGGAAACAGAAAAATAAAACTGGTTTTAGACGTGAATTGAAGTGCGCTCTTGTGGCGTAGCGGAGGCTGCTCATGGTAAAGATAAGACAGGTGAGTGAGTAAATTAGAAAGTGTAAAAACCAAAGGGCAGCGGTGTGAAATTCACGCTTTCTATGACCCCCTCTTTGCTCCATTAAATGTGCTAATCGACAGCGGAGGAAACAATGTGTAGTTTTTCTGTTTTTCTGTGAGACTCACCTCCCCTGCTTGGTGATTATCATCTCGGTTTGGAACTTGTGGAACTTGGCCCACAGCGGGTAGTTATTGAGCAGAGCCTGAGTCTTCCCGCACACCTGTAGCCCAGGTAAAGGGTAGAGAGGCTGCCGCTGGAACCCGTGCTGAAAGCTCGCTGGGTAATTCTCCGGAGAAGGGGAGTACACGTCTTTACCGCCCGTGGGAAACCCGTCTCCTGCCGTCGGGATGTAAGCCTGCCCGGCTCCGCTTCTCGGCGGAGAGCGCACGCTGCCGTACGGGCAGCTGCTGAGGGTCTGTGCGTAAAACCTGCCGGGTTGCGCTCCGTATCCTCCTACCGCCTGGTCCGAGTGGTAGGGCAGCGGCAGCGCGTCCTGCCCGCTCTGAACAGAGTCCGAGTAGTAAAACCTCGCGTCCTGAATCCCCATTTTGAACTCGGCTAGATCCTTGCCGCCGCGGTGGAAGTGACTGCTGATGTCGGCGTTCTTTCCGAAAGTTTGCGTTTCAGTCCCATTCAACATGCTGAGGTAGAGGTTGCCACCTATGCCGCCCATTTGCAGCCCCGCTCCCAGGCTGTGTCAAATGTCATAAGTTTGCGCTCCGTTTGAGTAAAAACATGTACGATGATAATCATAAAAACCAAGACCAAAAAACAACAAAGTCACTTGCCCTCACCTACGACTCAAAACGCACCGACATGAATTTTTAACTCGGTGTCTCCGCCGCTCAGAGGTTCAGATATAAAAACATCCCTCACGCCTCATTAGTCTGTTCATCGATAAACTTTTATTATTGCCAGAGTTGGTGTTTGTCTTTTTTGACGTGTGGAGTCGCTAGCAGTAACTCAAACACATGCTCGCTTTTCTAACCTATGATATATACATTTTGTAGGTGGTCATATTTTGGAGGTGTGTCAGAGGCAGGGGAGGGCGCGATAGGCTCCAGATATGAAAGAGAACATCCCCTCAGTAGAGACACGAGATTACACCCACACACACAGACACGCACGCAGAGACCTTTGGGGAAAAAGAGGAGTAGAGTGTAGTCTTCTGCTTTAAAATTAAAATATGGACACAGCAGAAATGTTTTAGAAGTGACAGCAAATAAAAAATTTATGTTATAATTTTAATTGTCTCTGATGCTATTTTGCGCCTTTTGGTTCATTTGCGCACATTAAAACCTGCTGTCATGATTTTGTTTAAGAGAAAATAGGTAATAATAATTTAATGAAGTTAGTCAGAGGTGGAATTCAATTAAAGGCCTGCAGAGGTTTTTAATAATTAGAGTAATAACACTGATAATTTTGACAAAGCAACAATCATTCGCAGATGTTAAGTCCCACACGTTAAATTCGCATTTAATTTAGCGATAAAATAAACAATGGTGCAGTCGGTTCATATAAGACGAGTTTATTAATTTTATGTATTTCTACTTTTTAATAAGACTGAATAAAACTACTTAAAATGTACTTTTATCTCCTACCAGCTCGACACACCGTGCTTCTTTCTAACGTTAAAGTTTATCCGTTAACGTGTGTGATTTATTGTAATTTAGCTGAAACATATATTTACAAAAACAAGTCTATTAAAGTATTACTCACTCTGTGTCACAGGGTTTCAGGTTTTTTTGTCACCATAAACTAGTTCACATTTTGAATCAGCAACACGATTTTATTTTCATTTTCAGTCTCAATCACGAAACACGTCAAAATGTACAAGTTTATTTTTTATTTTATTATTTTTTACAGTAAGAAAAAAAAAATCAACAACGAGACTGACTGTTTTAGCAGCTTCAGAGAGCTCACTGTGTTATAGAAATTATTTAAAAATAAAGCCCAGTGAAATGTATCATATTTTATAGGAAATTGATTATATTTTTATATTTTTTAAAATAATATTTTGGGTTATTTTTTATGTTAAATATATTTGTAATCTTAAAAAATGATTTCCAGTACATAAAAATACATTGTACCCATTATTTGAGCAATAATCTTAAAAATAATACACTTAAAAAAACAAACCTGTGTCTATATTCAGAATATAAATAAAAATCTATGCGTTTAAGTCAAGTGACAACAAAGAGAGACTCTTACTGAGGCTAAAAATGATTAAAATTTACCTTTAACTCGAACCATTCCCCCTCCAAGCAGAGTCTTGTTTAAGGCCCTGATAATGGCATGTTTAAATGGGTCTTACTGCTGGACTGACACTACATTTTCAGTACTCAGTATGGGTATTATATAATGTTGTTATGACTTGGTTTTTTAACATGTGCGCCCTGTGGCGGCAGAACACCTCAGACAGCATCAGGTACAGTTTCAGTCCCAATATGCAAAATTAACTTTCACATATGTTTCCTGAAACTGTCAAAGCGTCACCGTTTGTAACCAATCACACATCATTTGCTTCCAAAGCTGGATGAAACAGGAAGCTGGCTGTCACACAGCAGCAGGCTCTTCTATTAAATAAGACCTCTTAGTGTTTGTGTGTCACTGGTCAGCGAGCCCGGCCTGCACAGGGGGATCTGCTTTATAAACACAGATGAAAGAGATAACCCTGGGGTATTAACAGCTGCATGTGTGTGACCATACACATGCACACACATTAATAGATGAAACCCCCCTCCAGTGCAGGTATGACACAGTTATCCCCATCGACGCTGTCACTACTCTAATCCCACTTCCTGCGTCTCTCCTAGCAAGGTGAGCTCACAAGGGCGCACGCTGAAGTCATCAGTGTTGACACGGGTGGTGAGAGGGCCACAGTGTGAGCGGCACCCCTCCCCACACACACACACACACACACCTCCACCTCCACCCATCTCGTTCACCCCTGGAGTCACCACTTCCTCTTCTATCCTCTTCTTGCTTCCGGTTAGAGCCTCAGGCCATCACCTTCTGTGGCACAAATCAGCTTTCATTTTCTGTTAAGAGCAGGTCAGGTGGCCCTCATGTGCTCATGTGCACAGGAGCATAACTTGGAATATATTGCGAGCAGGATAAAGTGTTTGTAATCCTGGTGGAGCCCGTACAATATCAGCCTTTTCTGCCGGATTCTAAACTTTCCACCGATACCTGAACGTAAGCCAGTGGATAAAAGTGGGTGAGAAGGAGTTATAAATAGTGAATTATAACCGCGCTCGTACTCAGAGCTATGCGGTAACTGGAAACTGAAGTAAAATCTTGATGACTTCAAAAGAATGCAGTAAAAGCAAGTGTGGTTAACTTGTCCACGGCTTCTGTGGGTTGACAAATTTAGAGGTGATAGACGGGCACATCATCAGATGTCTTCATTAAAGGAAGGTGATGATTATGAGATAGCTGGAATTACAGCATGAAATAATTCGCTGTGCTTTGAAATATAACTGAAATATGAAAGTGAGATGTTTGATTTGGCCTGTAATTAATGACACAGTGGCTCACGTTAAAGGCCCCAGTATTATCCACATTTTCAGATGATTTACAATCTTTTTAAAATCTTGTAAATGTCCAAGACATTTCTGTTTGAATTTTTCTACCAATTAGGTTTTTCTAAACCTAATCAAACCCTGGATTATGTTGCCAAGAACGGCTTTAAAGAAACAAAATAAAATGTCACACTTGGGGGCACTGATATGTAAATATAGGTATTTTTCTCCAATTTACAGTGTTGTTTAACCGTGCATGGTTTGGTTAGATTAAGGCAGACAAAAACTTAATGAATGACAATGTGAAAAACAATATGACACTGCGAAAGGTGTTGCTTGTAAATGAGCCTACACAGACTTTTCAGCTCCATTATGGCACTCCATAATGAGTTTCAGGTCCTTGTTAAGCTTTGCTAGTCAGGTTCACCGCTCATTGTGCTGTTTTCAACCACAGCACGTAGTTGTTTTGGTGAAAAAGTTGTAGAAAACTCTCTATACCATAAATGCTCTTCGCTGAACATCAGAAAAACATGGTTAGTGAGAACAGTAGTGCAATCATCATGTAAACAAATGTGTTATTGCCCCAAGAGAAACCAAAAATGACAGCGCATATCTGATAAATCAAGCCGAAAATGAATCATGAAGCTCCAGAATGATAACAACATGTTTTCCGTAGCCACTTAAAAGATGATGACATATCAGTGTTGGGTTACTTCTGCTCCTCCATGCGGCCGTTGCAGGCTTACAGTCAGAGAACCTTCAGAACCACTTCATTAAGATTAGAAATAAGAAAGCAGAACAGTGATCTTCCAAGACAAAGTTCAATATTTTGTTGACGCATCCATCCACCCCCATCGCTTTCCTACATAGAGTTTGCCATTCTGTAAGAGCAGAATAACCAACAGGTGTTCATACCAAACCTAAAGGAAAGAATTATTCCATTCCCAGTGGTTCCTAAATTTACAAATTGTCAATTTTAAGCCCAAAACAGGCAATATCAAGGCCAGCTATCAAGAATATGCAGCAAATTTAACATGGCTTTAATTCAAAAATTTGTTTTAAATTTGTGCCCCATGTGGAAGCAGTGTTCACTTTCTACTCGTGGTTTTCTGTTATTACTTTGCTTTACAGTCGGGCCTAAATCACACTTTGAGAAAGACAGAAGTAACTTTAAGGCGTAAAGACCAGCCTGGAGTGCCTTAAACTTGCATTCTTCCTAATGACCAGCAGTGGATGACTACACTGTTTGCAAAAAGAATGCAATCTCATAGGAATCTATGGGAAAATGATCCTCCTGCTGTCTTCATTAAATATCACATTAAATATTATGCTAATGGTGTCATGGCCTTAATCTTATTTAATACAGCATAATGTTCGATTTGTATGTTGTGATTCAATTGAGACTAAAAGAGACAGTAAAGTAGTGTATGCTGTAAGCTGTGGTTGCTTTGCTGCACTCCTTACTCGGCACATCTGTCTTTAAAATAACAAGATGGTAATGGAAATACTCCTCAGCTCAAGTCTTTTTGATAAGACTTCACTAACCAGTGAGTAGCTAGATCGATATTTCACATATGACATATTTCACATATGACATATGAAAAGGTTTTACAGGTAATTCAACGAGGTAATTACTCAGAGAGCCGCAAGACGTCATCTACTTTAACCATATGGTAAATGGCCTGTATTTATATAGCGCTTTTCTAGTCCCTAAGGACCCCAAAGCGCTTTACATATCCAGTCATCCACCAATTCACACACTGGTGATGGTAAGCTACATTGTAGCCACAGCCACCCTGGGGCGCACTGACAGAGGCGAGGCTGCCGGACACTGGCGCCACCGGGCCCTCTGACCACCACCAGTAGGCAACGGGTGAAGTGTCTTGCCCAAGGACACAACGACCGAGACTGTCCAAGCCGGGGCTCGAACCGGCAACCTTCCGATTACAAGGCGAACGCCCAACTCTTGAGCCACGATCGCCCCATGCTAAAAATATCAACGGCTATTGTAGTTCTTCTCATGAGTTCGGGATGGGATTAACATGCAAACATATGGATGACTCTTTCTCCCTTTTCATGTGTTCAAATGAGATTTAATTTATCTTAATCGCACTGAAACCCTTAAAGCAGGTATAACACTTACGAGCGGACACCACAGATATAGTTTACAGTTTGCTCCCGCTCAATCTGCACTGGAAAGGCCCACCCTCCCCCCACCTGAAACCCAAGGAGGCTTCATGTTGCTCTAACTCATGACCAAAATGTTCACTATGTCAAACTCCTATACTTGTCATTAACATCCACTTCCTACAGTATTTGAGCCACATCTGTCCAAAACTGAACCTTCATTGGAGCTTTGAAATAATATTGACTCTAGAATGACTGTGTCATTTATTTTTCTTCCTTCATTGTTCTAAGTCAGCTTTGTTTTGGGTGCT